TTTTTTTTTTTTTTTTTTTTTTTTTTTTTTTTTTTTTCGATAAGTATCTAAATACGGGAATGAATAGTAATTAGTAGTTAAATTTATTAAAAATAATACATTTCATAAAAATATATCGAGTAAATAAAAATATTTAAAACTATGTGATAAATTTTTTTTTTAAAGAAAATTTGTTTTATAAAATAAAATTGAAAATTAAAATAAAAAATATCATGAAATTATTACAAAAAGTTAATTATCCTTAAATAAAATACATAGAATATCAAATTTCAATTAAGTTAAAAGCAATGTATCGTAAAATAAACAATATCAATTGTGCTGATGTTGTCACAATATAGTTTGCTCAGGCCCATTAAAACTTGGCGTTAATTACTGTGGAGATTCTTTGACATTGATCACCTCTCGCTGCTCCAATAACTCTTTCCAATGAATTCTGGAATGAAATAGAAAATTTAAGTTAATACATTAGTTAGTTAATTACAATCAAAATGAAATATATAAATATTAGCAGACAGCTGACAATTTTTAGAATTTTTTTTATTAATAAAATTATTACAAAAAAATTAAAAGAAAAAATTGCACATGTAAAAAATTTGAAAAACTATACGTGCAATTTTTTAAAAATATTTATTTATTGCTAATTCAATTAATAAAAAAAAAAAAAATAAAAATATTTTACTGTCGGCTAATTTTAGTTTCATCTAATTTTATTATTATCATAAAAAGTATAGTAACACAGAATAAAATAAAAAATAAATTCCGAGTCTGCCGAGTATTAATAATCCGCGTTTTCTTAATGAATATAAGGATGTATTTAAAAAAGTGCTGTAAAATAATCGACGAAGGTATGTGTGATTTAAAATGTGATACCCGTAATGATAATACGATCCATCAAATCCAGACTGACGACAAAAAAAAATGGACGAGGTGTATTATTAAAAGAATTTCGTCAAAATAAATTTGATGCATCGTGTTGGGAAAATCTAAACGAACCTTCGGCAGAGCGGAAGTTCGGCCGCTAGCGGTGAAAGCCATTGGTGGAGTGCATAGGCTGCTGCGGGGGCAGCTGATAGTACGAAATCCCATTAGGGTAGGTAACCCCCAAGCCGCCGCCGCCGCCGCCGCCGGGACCGGGTAGCGAAGGCATCGACGCTAAAATATTAACGTTAGGTGAGGATCCGTCCTCACCGAGACGATGATGATAGCTTGAGGCTACGGTTGGCCCCGGCAGGCTCGCTGCTCCCGTGCGAAGTAGATGGGGTACCATCGGACTTTGCCGATGATGGTGAAGAATCGTGCTTCCCGATGACCGTTCTTCCGGCTCAGAAGGCAGAGGTGGTAAGATATTAGGTGGAGGTAAGGTCGTTGGAAGAGGTGGAAGAGGAGGCGGTGGTGCGGTATGAAGCGGAGGAGGTTTTATTGACAGAGTCCGAGTCGAAAAAGTGTCCTCACCCGTTGGACTTGCCGACGACTTGCCTGAACGATTATTCACCGGGCTACGGCTCCTTGAGTAGCTGCGACTGTAACTTCTTCTTCCTCGTCCGTTGCTCCGTTCTTTACTGAAACTCCGGCTGCGACTTCGAGAGTAGCTTCGGTCCTTTCCACTCCGAGGACCACGGGCTCGCCATCGATTTCTACCACCTGCATTAAATCCGACTATTGTCGATTTTATTCTTTATTTAATTTTTTTTTATACAATTTTATTTTAAATTAACACTGATAGAAGGCTTTGTTTATATTTAATAAGCTTCATTAACTGTTAATAAATGATTTTTTAACATCATAGTAAATTAAATAATTGGCTTCAAATAAATTAAATTATTAATAGTTAATAAATCCTTTTATCAGTGAATAAATAATTTTTTTTAGATATTACCTTTCTGTCGTCCAAACATTCCAGCCCGGCTATCTACAAGCTCTAATAATTTCGGATTAATAACCTGATTAGCCTCCTTTAATACTTGAATTAGGTCATTGGCTTTATTAGAGTTATTGGGTGTGAAAAATGTATAAGCTGTCCCGGTTTTTTGACGGCGGCCTGTACGACCGATACGATGAACATAATCTTCTGAACAAGATGGATAGTCGAAGTTTATCACAAACTTCACGTCTTCAACGTCTGAAATTTATAAATATAGTTAGCATATTTTTATTACCATCAATAATAATTATAGAAATTCAGCATTATGTGGGTAACGCGTAATTTTTTTCCTATTTACATTAAAAAGGATTTACGCGTTTTGATTATTTTTTTTTGCTTTTATAATACCATAAGCTACAGTCCCTCGGACAATAAAATTACATCTATTAATTATTAAATATTTTCTTACACAAGGGACTAATTTATTCACAAGTGGAAAACTTGTTTTACAAACAATCAAGTCCCAAGTCGTGCATAAAAGCAAGCTTTTATTTTTTTTTTTATATTTAAATATTAACAAATAAAAATAACTAATAATAATTTTTTACAATAAGCTTCGATAGCAATTAAATAAATAATTTATAAATTAGGCAACAAGAAAAATTTTATTTTTAAAAACAAGCAGCAATATTAAAATTAAAAGGACCGAAGCTTATGACTGCAATGCTCTACTTTTTTTTTTAACTATTAAAAAAAATAAAATAAAATGTAATGTTAGATGAAAAAAACGATTTAAATTAATGGTAATAGTGATTATGAAAATGTATGATGATACTAATGTGTAAGACTGATGATGAATTATAAAAAAGGCAAAAGAACAAAAAAAAAAAAGAAGGTATGAAGTTATTATTATTATTATTATTATTATTATTATATAAAAAAATAAAAAAAATAGGAAATGTTTGTGATATGAAATAATTTGATTGGACTGTCATACTAAAGTAAGGCAGCGGGCGAGTGTCGTTAGCAACGTACAGGCATGGCCTGGCTAGGCTGTATTGAGCTCGCTCCAGCTACAGCCTCACCGCCGGTTGCTAATGGGACCCACAAGAGGCCTTGGCATCCATAGAGTCTAGCATGCCATCGCCTCGTGAGAGATTGGAATTGGTGACCGCCTTCGTTGGGCGGGCCACGATTAGCTCGAGTGACCAGTAGACATGTGGGGAACTCTAGTATGTTTCTAGAGTCTAGACAACTCGGCTAGCCCAGATGCAATATGACGTCGCAGACGGTAGAACCGAGGTTTCGTAGACAGATTTATTGAGGGCCCGATAGGACCCAGACTGGCCCATCACGTAATTGACGTATAGAGGCACGCGCAGCAGCCACCGCAGACAATGCAAACTAGTGCACTACCGAATAAGACGAAAGTGCACCCCCGTTTGCTTTGCATTACCCGGCGTGGACCTGCGCGCAATGTGCCTCTGCAATCCAAACAAACATCCAGCCGCGTTAGCTATATTCTTTTATCTTACACTAGATTTTTTTTACTCTTAATTTTAATAATCATTTTTTTTTTATTTAATCAATAGTTACTCTTTATTAATAACTATCTATTAAAAATAAAAATAAAAAAAATTTTATTACTTTGATAATAGATTTTAAAATTATTAAATATTTTTAATTACAAATTTTGACTCGAAAATTAAATCAATTTATTATTAATTAGTAAAAAAATTTATTTTTTCATCTTACCTAGTCCACGAGCAGCTACGTCAGTTGCTACAAGAATTGGAGCCTTACCAGATCGAAAATCTAATTGAATAAAAAAATTAATAAAAATTTTAATTACAATAAACAATATTAAATTTTAAATTATACCTTGTAAAACCCAATCACGTTCTTGTTGAGTTTTATCACCGTGAATGCAAACAGCTGGCCATCCTTCACGTTTCATTTTTCTCGTTATTTCATCTACTCTGCGTTTTGTTTCAATAAATACAATCGTTTTATTTTCGCTTTCAGCCATTATTTCTTTTAACAGCGTACTCAGCCTGCCAACAAACAAACAAATAATTATAATTATAATCATCTATATTATTAAGAGAATAAGAAAAATTTTATTTCCAGGATAGTCATATGATAAAATCAGTTTTTTTTTTTTTTTTTTTTAGTAAAATGACCTTTTATGTTGTGAAATATTGACATTTTTAAAGATATAAGCTCATCCCGATGTTACAGTCATCGAGACCTTTCATTTGAGTACCCACATCAATTTTTCATATAATTATATATATGTATATATGAAAAATATATAAAAAATGCATGTGGGTACTAAAATGAAAGCTCTTAATGAGTGTAACATCGGGATGAGCTTATATCTTTAAAAACGTCAATATTTAAGAAAGTACAGTGCAATTTAACAAAAGTCATTATTTAATAAAGCAAAATTTGAATTTAATTAAAAATCTAATATAACATACTTTGCTTCTTTCTCATAGTCTTGACAAACGTCAATAATTTGTAAAATATTGTGATTAGCCGACAATTGCAGCGATCCAACATTAATCTGTGCGTAGTCCTTAAGAAAATCTTCAGCTAAATTTTTAACCTCTTTTGGCCAAGTAGCAGACCACATGAGTGTCTGCCTATCAGGTCTAATTTGTTCAATAATTTTTCTTATTTGCGGTTCGAACCCCATGTCCAACATACGATCAGCCTCATCCAACACTAAATATGTACACCTCTTAAGGTTCGTCCGACCAGACTCGAGAAAATCGAGAAGTCTTCCCGGAGTAGCAATGACAATTTCCACTCCACTGTCTAAATCTCTCGCCTGGGAACTCTTCGGAGCTCCTCCGTACAAACAAGTATTCCTTATGCCAGAGGTGTGACCAAAGTCATCCGCAACCTGTTGAATTTGTTGAGCAAGCTCTCTGGTCGGAGCCAGTACCAGAGCAATCGGTCCATCCTTACGCAGAAGCTTCGGCTGGCTGTTGATATGCACAATAGCCGGTAAAATGTACGACAGAGTTTTCCCGGAGCCAGTTGAGGCTATTCCAACCATGTCACGTCCGCTCAGAGCGATCGGCCATCCTTGTGCTTGGATCGACGTAGGCTCTTTGAAGCCTTGACGTCTAAAATAAAAAAATAAATTTAATTGCTGTTTATTAACCAACCAATTATCTTAATTATTCACCATAGGGTATCATTAGTACTTACTTTATCTCTTTCATAACATAATCCGGAAATCCGGCCTCTTCAAAGCTAAACACTGGATTGGGTATACATTTTCCCCGGAGGGTTATCTCCTTTTCGCTTCTATATTGCTCAATGTAACGCAGGTCGCGGTTCAATACTGTGTCACTAGGCACGTAAAAATCTTTCTTGAATGGCTCCAGACGCCCCAGGTCCCAGCGAGGCTTCCTCAGACTCGCTCCTGGCTGATTTCGACCTCCTCGATTGCTACCTCGGTCTCTCACTCCGCCACCACCCCATCCTCGTCTGTCACGAGGTGATCTGCTTCTGGAACGACTTCTGGATCTTCTACGTCGATCGCGGTCTCTGCTGCGGCTGTTTATAAATAAATAAATTAATTAATAATAAATTTGATTTTATTTGTATCATATAAGCGGTGTTTTACAAAATATTTATGATATTAAAGTTAACAGTCATTAAAGAATTTTTTTTAACAAACAAATTTGTTCCAAAAAATAAATTTTAAAAAATTGCATTTTTTATTTTTTTTAATTTTGACATGTCAATTTTTTTTCTGATTTTTTTTTTTTGCCATAATTTATTCGTTAAAAAAAATTCTAACAATTATTAAATATCTTCTAAATTTATATTACTTAAGTTAGCCGATGTTTTTAATTTTTTTTTAATAATTAAATTTAAACAAAAAAATATTTTTAAAAATTGCACTTACAGTTTTTTTACAAATGAAACTTTTTTTTTTTATTTTTTTTGTAATCATTTTATCAATAAAAAAAAATTATAAAAATTTTTAAAAGTCGGCTAACTTAATTTTCATTCTAAATTTATTTTTATAAATATTTTCTAAATAGAAAAACAAACAGCGCTGTCTTTCTATTTAGCTTGTTTTTATGTGGATTACATAGTGTTAAATTAATTCTAATTTTTGGCATACATTTCACCATTTTTTTGGTACATTGCTTTTTTACAATATTTTAACATATCCCATACTTTTTTCTACATACATTCTTAGATTTATTTCTTTATTACCACTACATAATCTGTTTCACATATGCATGCGCGCTCGATTAATTAATTAATTAATTAAAAAATTTATTGTTACAATTAAAATTAATTAGACAAGATATATATGTTTATTAAATGCTGCAGTATGATTTAATAAATTAGCAACAACATATGACAACTTTAAACATATTTGCCGAAAAATTTATCAAATATCATTTAAAGTTAAAAATAATTGATGAAAAAAAATTTTTAGAATTTATTAAATCTTCCAGAGTGAATTATTTTGATGAATTTGCGACGCGACGCGAGATAATGTTCTGAAAATTACAATACACGCATTCGGACGCTAGCTCATATCAGTAGATTCTTTGAACACATTGTTGCATTTATTTATTTATTTTTGCAAAACTTACCTCCTATACCGTCCCATTGTATTGCACTTGTGTACTTTATATTAATTTCGTTGTAATTATTTATAAAGTAGTTATAGATTTTGGAAAAAAAAAATATTAAAAAAAAAAAACACGTATTTTTCAGCAAATTATAACAAGGAAACCGAGCGAACGCTCAATGCGCTCCAGTGAAATCAGTGAAATATGAGTAAAATGGAGTAATTTTTCGCCTGTAGAGTTCGCGCCGACAAAGAAGGCTGTGTTCGGTGAATATAGATGTCCTTCTATGTATATTTAAGCATGTAATCCACAATTGGGCACTAGCGCTTCTTTTTCTCGTGAAAATATAATAATAAAAAAAAATATCTTGTTGGTGTAAAACCACGTTGCACAAAGTGTCAAACCAACCGATAATAAAAATAAAGATAAACAAAGACAATAATGTGATAAATAAATATTATTAATATTGTTATTAATTATTTAATAAAATGGGGTTGCTGGAGGATACTTTTGTCATTCTTATCACACAGGTAATTCACATTAATAAAACTTATTTTATAGTTTAATAAATTTTTTAAATAATTATTTTTTAGATTTGTTTCTTCGCTGGAGGATGGGTATTTTTTGTTAAAAAATTATTCCGTGATTATGAAGTTCATCATAGATTGGTACAATTGATTTTTTCAACAACATTTTCACTGTCATGTACAATGTTTGAATTGATCATTTTTGAAATAATTGGAATTTTGGACTCTAGGTAAATTAATTGTTTAATTATTAATAACTTTATTAATATTATATTTAATTATTATAATTTTATTGTCTGTAGTTCTAGATATTTTCACTGGAATGTTGGACTTTATATGTTACTTTTTATGGTAATTGTTGTAATACCGTTTTACATTGCATTTTTCATTATAAGCAACGTCAGATTTGGTAAGAATAACCCTGAATAATTTTTAATTAAATATAATGAAAATTTAAGTCGGCATTTAAAATTTTTAGAATTTTTTTTATTAAAAATATGATGAAAAAAAAATTTCACTTGTAAAAAACTTTAAAAACTGTAAGTGCAATTTTTTAAAAATATTTTTTTGTTTTAATTTAATCATTAAAAAAAAATCAAATTAAAATCGTCGGCTTACTTTAGTATTATAAATAATTGACGTAAAAATTTTTAAAAATCTTCTTTTGAGGCAAATTATTTCGTTAAATAAAATAAAAAAATTATTAAATGACTGCTAATTTTAATCTCATTTAAATATATTAATAAATTAACATACTAATTACTGTTTAATTAAAATTACAGTAAAATTAAATTTGATCCGGCCATTGACGATATTTATTTATCTGTGTTATTTGTACCTATTTTGGAAAATCGGCGACCCATTTCCAATTTTAAACCCAAAGAAAGGACTATTGTCCATAGAACAAGGTGTTAGTCGGATAGGAGTAATAGGAGTTACTGTAATGGCACTGTTATCTGGTTTTGGTGCTGTAAATTATCCGTACTCATCAATGACATGTTTTATGAGACCTGTTTCTTATGCTGACGTGCAAGCTATTGAAAAAAGATTGTTACAGACAATGGACATGATTTTAGCGAAGAAAAAAAGAATAGCTTTGGCGAAAAAAAGTGAGGGAATATCTAAGGCTGAAACGCGCTCACGTTTGTGGGGAATGTGGTCCCCTTTGACGAGTATGAAAGAATATACAGAAAGTAAGAACGTAGATTAGCTACTGAGCTTCTCAGTACTTGTATTTATTTTTATTTTTTTTTTTTCTTTTAGATGTTAAAAAACTCGAGCAAGAAGTCTCAGGACTGGAAGAATTATCTAGACAATTGTTCCTAGAAGCACATGACATACAAAATGCTCGTGCGCGATTAGAATGGGCAGCTACTTGGCAGGGAAAATATTTTAATTTTCTTGGATATTTTTTTTCAGTCTACTGCATGTGGAAAATATTTATTGTAAGTTTAAAAATTATTTAACTTGAGTTTTAAAATACAAAAAAAAAAAAAAAAAAAAAAAAAAAAAATTGATAATTTTTTTACAGTCGACGATTAATATAATATTTGATAGAGTGGGAAAAAAAGATCCGGTGACTCGCGGAATTGAAATTGCTGTCCATTGGATAGGTTTTGATATCGACGTAACATTTTGGTCACAACACATATCTTTTTATCTTGTTGGCTGTATCGTTGTGACGTCCATACGTGGATTGTTACTCACACTTACAAAGGTATCAAATAAATTAATAAATTTTTTTTTTTTTACTTATTTATTGACTCATTTTTTTCTTCCAGTTTTTCTACGCCATATCTAGTAGCAAATCTTCCAATATTATTGTGTTAATACTCGCGCAAATAATGGTAAATTAATTTTATTGTATTTTTATATTATAATAGTAATAATAATAAATCTGTTTTAAAATTACAGGGAATGTACTTTGTATCATCGGTACTTTTAATGAGAATGAATATGCCTGCTGAATACAGAATAATAGTAACACAAGTTTTAGGAGATTTGCAATTTAATTTTTATCACCGTTGGTTTGACGTAATATTTTTAGTATCTGCTTTATCATCAATTGTATTTTTATATCTCGCTCATAAACAGGCTCCGAGTGAACGTATGTTGTAATTTAAAAAAGAAATAATTATTTTATATATTTAATAAATCGTTTTTATACTTATAATTAATTACATTATCCATGTGTTTAAAGTATTCACAGTGTAAAAAAATTAAAAATTATTATATAGAACGACGAAAAATTTCTTTTTATATAGAAATATTTATACTATCTTTCAAGTCTAAAGTGGTATTTAAAGTTTTCTTTTTATGATTACATTATCTAAAATATTATTAACTACATGTGCAATATTGCCGCTAGTAGTGAATTTAAATATTCAACTGTTTGTATTAATTTAGCACAGTTTAACGTATTAATTCAATTGACCACTCTTCACCCATATTCACACCGGGTTTACGTATTATTAAAACATTATTATTGGAGTTGTAATTCAATTCTAAGCTACCATTTCTTGTACCTGGAACAAAGAATAATTTTCATTAATATCCCAAAAAATCCAAAATTAATATAAAAAAAAAAAAAAAAAAAAAAATAAAATAAAATAAAATACATACTTTCAGAAATAAGATTAGCTGATTTAACACCCTGAGGAGGATTAGCAATGTCAACTCGTTCCAACCAACTGGCTGTTGAGAAACTAGCCAATTTATTGATGTACTTAGAAGAAAGTGTCTTTCCATCAAAGGACAATTTCAGGTAAACGTATTTTCCATGACGATATTCAAAGCTGGACTCATCATCAATGTAAAGAGTTCCTGAAGCAGATCCAGACTTGTCTGCGATGACGAACAAGGTGTAGGGATCATTTTTCATAGCCACAGTGCTACGACGTAGTCTCATTTTACGTGGAACAATTGATCCACTTCTTTGGAACACCGGAATGTTGTGAAGAGTCACGGGTATACGTACATTACCCGGAGTTGAGTAGTTCTCCATAGTCTCAACGTCATACCAATCATCTTTACCTTCACCCGGGAAGTAAACATTAACTTCAGTAACAGATGGCTCGAAAACAGGATGTACTAGAATAGAATCACCAACAAGCAATTGGTCGTCAATTGAGAAAGTTTTTACTTCTGAAGGATAATGCACCCACATTGGTCTTATAACCGGGCTGCCATTAATCTCATGCTCTCTGAATAGCGTGTACCAGAGGGGCAAGTAAGAGTACCTCATCCGAATAGCATCACGTACTATTTTAGTAGTCTCATTATTAAATGTCCAAGGCTCACGTCGTTTGGTTTCAATGTGAGAGTGCTGACGGAAGAATGGCAGCCAGGCGCCAGCTTGGTTCCACCTGATAAACAATTCAGCGTCTGGATTTTTAAAGAACCCACCAACGTCAGCTCCGCAGAATGACATTCCAGCAACTGCTGTTGACAAACACATCGGGTAGCTTATACGCAAGTGTTGCCACTCAGCGGTGTTGTCACCAGTCCAGACAGCAGCGAAACGTTGCGATCCAGCAAAGTGGGATCTTGTTAGAACAAAAGGTCTCAGAGTACCACCCGAGCGCTTGTACAATGCTTCGTAAGTAACGAGAGTGAACATGAGTCCATTGATATTATGCACATCTCGGTGCTCCCAGTTGCCATAATGCATCAAATCTTTGGGCATTGTCACCTCAGGACCGTTGAAAACACTCGGTTCGTTCATGTCATTCCAAATGTAAACGTCATTGGTAGTACCGTGGAACTTGTCAAGGTCATACTGCTGTCTGAAGTAATCCCTGACTACTGGGTTGAAGAAGTCCAAGTACGAGGAAGATCCAGGCCAGCACCAACCTTCGTAATCTTTGTTCTCAGCTGTCTTGACATAGTATCCATTGTCCTCGGCGTCTCTATGAACAAAGTAACCACTGTCGCGCTTGATATGCGGGTCGATAATGACTACCAATTTTCTGTGCTTGTTTGTGAGGTCTTGGATCATTTTTGTCGGGTTGGAAAACTTGTTCGGGTCCCAAGTGAAGTATTTTTTGCTGTCGGTGTACTCAATGTCCAGCCACATCACGTCCATGGGAATGTCATTGGCGTCGAATTGCTCAGCTATTTGGGCAACGTCATCTTGGTCATTGTAGTTCCAGCGAGATTGGTGGTATCCTAAACTAAACATCTGCGGCAATGAAGTGGTTCCGGTTAAAACAGTGTATTGACGGAATGCGTCGAGTGGTTTTGGTCCCAAGAGGAAGAATACATCAATTACACCTGATTCAGACATGAAATGAGTGTCTACACTGACTTTCTTAGTATTACCAGGCACCAAGTTGACAATACTGTCAAAGACGTTGCTGTCAGCGCTGGACTGAATGTCTACCCAGGTTTCTGCAGCGTTATGCCAGAAAACTCCCGACGTACGTTTTTTACCGTGGGCATACAGGACAGGTATCGCTCCGTAAAGAGCCATGCGTTCGTTGACTTCATACTCGAAGACGTCCAAATTGTACAGCCTGTAGGGGTCGATGCCTTTGGTTGTCTTTAAAGCGAATGAATCGGCGTGTTGAGGAATTCCGTAAGCATGCTCGGCGTCTGGGAAACTGAAATCTAAGGCAATAGCTTCAGGTCCACGCGGTTTGGAGTCGTGGAAGGACTTGAAGTTTTCTTCCCATGCTCCTGGGTCATTCTCAGCACCATCGCCAGGGTACTGAGGTGCTTCAGCTTCAGTCACTTCTTCGGCTTCAGCGTCTGCTGGCTTCGGAGCCGGCTTAGTACGCAAGTGCTCGAATCTCATAAGACCTCGCGCATTTGTGGAAATTACCAGCTGCTCGTCGGAGTAAAGATCTACTTTAAATGGACTGAAATAAAGTATTACTTTGTTAGAGCCGCTTTTCACGGTCACGTGGTCGCTTGTAGTCTCCACTAATTGCAAGTTTGCGTGTCTCGGAGCTCCTTGCAAAGCATGCTCCACCTCGTACCGAGGCTTCAAAGGTTCTTTTTCATTTATGAAAAGCCTAAATGTATTATCTTCAAGTGCTGTTAACTGCAATATATATGGCTTTCCGGTATCTTTATTGAATAATATTCCGTGTAAAATTGAATCATTTTTATCTATTGACTCTGGCAAAAGTTCGTAAGGTGTTTTACCAGGTTGCACACCACGGCACCGTCTAAAAATATTTAATGGTTAAATATTTAGTCATTTATTTTTTAGGTTTAATCCACTTGTATTTTTTTTTTTTTTTTTTTTTTTTGCATATTTTGAATGTACATATATTTGAGAATATCATCCGAAAATTTCACATTGATCCGGCAAATAATTTCGGAGAAATTAATTTATTTGTAAAGATTTTTTAACTTAGTTTAAATAGTTTCCAAAACAGGTAATGATCGAAGGAATAAGGTTTCTGGTAATAATTTCGATTTTTTAAGCCACTTTAAACTGTAAATTTTCTTGGAAAAAACAATTTTTTTCTCAGGTAATCGATCATTACCTGTATTCATATATCCTAAAAATAAATCTTTGATTTTTTTTGTTTTTTTTTTTTTTTTTTATTTCTGATAATTTGGATCAGAGATATCTTCCTCACCGCCAGACACCTTTTTGTGGAGGTCCTCTAGGAGATCTAACTACAGGAACAACGGAACCCAATATTTTTGTAAATACATCGCGAATTCTTAAAATGAATTAAATTCGCTATATGTACATTTATTTAATAAAAAGCCTCTTTACAAAAAAACACGTTTTTCGGACTTACAAGTGGATATAATCCCTTAAAGATTATTAATAATTATTAAACGTACCTGCAAAAACTCGATTGGTCACAGGTTTTAAAATTGGTTCTATCAACTGCATTTACAACTAAGATGACACATAGGATTCCGATACTTAATCTGAAATAATAAAAATAACTAATGACTTATGACTGTAGATAAACTATTGATTTGTTATCTATTTTGAATCAACAAAAAGTTATTAGCAGGCATAACAATAACAATAAATAAATAAATAAATAAATAAAATAATTGTAAATATTCAAGTTAAATCTCTTTGATATGATTGCAAACACACTTGCTATTTAAAAAAATTTAAAATAACAAAACATAAGTATACATCAGCCCTAAATGCGTGGTAGTGACACGTCACTACTTGATAATTAATAATACTGATATTAAAATAAAATTCAATACTCCAAAGCTATAAAATTAATATAAAATAAAAATAAAAAAAAAATTGTTAATCTATTTTATGAAGAAAAAAAATATTAGGTAGAATTAATAAAAAATAAAAAATATCAACTTACTCCAAAAGCGAAGCCATATTAACTGACTTATCTTGATATGCTTGTTTAAAACTTGCTCTCAATCACTGTGTAGGATTATCGCAACTCATTCCATGTATAAAAATGTAATGGAAGTTTACTATCTCAATTCGTAGAATTATCTCAATTAGTTGAGCAGTTTTTTCTCCGCAGCTGGTGGACTAAAGTTTATTTAATTTTAATTAATAATTCATTTGATACTCCCTATGAAATCTCTTAAGGTTATAGTATACTCAACCCGGCAAGCGCATGGAATTAGATCAGATAATTTTTTTTCATGGATTTGTTTTTTTATTGTATATATTTCATGTTCTGAGACGTGTCTAAGCCGCTAGAGGCGCCGGAGCTTCTAACTTTACACACGTGTCTCTTCTGGATTCTCCAATTCTCTTTCTTATCTTCTTCCGCCACCAGTAATTTCAAATTGTTTGTAAACACGAACGCTGTTTTAATTTTTCAGATGATTAATACAATTATTAATTTATGTAATGAAAACAGAACAATTAATTTAAAAAATGATTATTTATTTAATCAAGAAACTGAGTAATTTTTATTTTTAGATTATCATTATTTTATAATTTGTCCTTGATAAAATTGAATAAAAAAAAATAAAAAGAGTAAAAAAAATTATACTGAAGTTAGCTGACAGCTGTCAATTTTTTTAACAAAATTAATTCTAAAAAAAATACTTTAAAAAATTTCTACTCATATTTTTTTTTAATTTTCACATGTGGAATTTTTTAATTAAATTTTTTGATAAAAATTTAATTGTTATAAAATTTCTAATGTCAGTTAACTTCAGTGTCTTAAAAAAAATGGCAGACTTCTAACTTACCATCTCCATGGTTAACTTCTTCATTTTCATGAGCCAAAAAGACTCTTAAGAATAAAGTTTATGTAATAACTGATAAAGTTATAGTAAACTAAAGTGATAAAAAGAGAGAAAAGTTTCTAATCAACCTTCTGAATTAAATAATAAAGTCTAAAAATAAAAAAAAATAAAAAATACTTACTTATAAATGGCGTGTATTGTGTTATTGTGCGTATCCATATATCAGCGCATGCGCGTGATATAATTTTCTGTTGAATTTATTTCGACCAATCAATTAAATTGAATACTCGTATAAATGCCCGGGGATTGGCTGATAGCCTCACGTTGTTTATCCTAGAAAGTAAACTGATGAATTCACATTAAGAGTCGAGCAATAAGCACACAGTTACACACAGAAGACAGAACGAACGATATGGGCATTGTGTTGTATTGGTAAATGTACTGATGTTGGGGCACAGAACAAAGACAATCAAACTGCTGTAAGGGAGAACAGAGAAAAAATAACGTCAAAAGTTGACGCATCAGTTTTGTTAGTTTGATTGGTGTCACGTGTGTGTTAAAACATTTATTTGACACAATCTATCGTATGAATAAATGAGCATTATGGTGACGGTCGGATGATGAAACTTAAAAAAAGTGTTGTCATGCAAATGCCTGTTGTGGAATGATGAACATTTAACTGTTGAAGATCGGATGTGTGAAGCAGTGCAGTACAAATTATTACAATCAACCAGCCAAGCTCTGTTATTTTATTATACGTACCACTATCGAGTGAAAGTGTCGAGTATTGGTGAAATTAAATCCTTTCAATAGAGTTATGCATAAAAAAAATAATTATCATCAGGACTATGATAAACTAATTTTTTTCAGGGCTTAATTTCAATTTAATATTTTAGATTTTTATTGTTTTGCACTATTTTGCGCATCTGTTTTACCGTCATCATCATCATCATCGTCGTGTCGTATCTCCCACACACACATAGTACAGAGCAAGACAATACGATACGACATTCGTCGTTTTAACTTCGAGGTCGGAGGCCTCACTCGTGTTATTTTATTATTTTTTTATTCTCTTTGTCACTAACTCGGATACGAGAAAGAAAAAACATGGCCAATGTGAGGTGAATGAATAACACTTAAAAGATTTATTTAGATCGTAATATTTACTACTTATTTTTAATTGTTCATTGTTAAGTTTTATTTTTAATACGTAAATGCATATTAATTAATTAATATTATTGTTTTGTATTAAGAAAAGGTGAAACACGTACGAGTACAAAATAATTGGTGATTTTTTTTGACCGAGACTCAAAAAAGCCAATCTATTTTGTCAAGGACCAACAAATAAAATATATAAGCTCTCTGAAGTTTACATTGGACTTGAATATTCAAGAACGATAAAAGCTATTATTAAATTGTACGTTTGGGAGATACATACAATAAATAAATAAACAAAAATGTCGTCACCAAGTGCTGGAAAACGACGCATGGACACTGATGTTATAAAATTGTATCCTTTTATTAATTCGATATTTTTTATCGCTGGTGCAATTTTTTTTTTTTTTTCAATCGTTTCTGCAGTTACATAATTATTTTAATGCATTCAATTCAACAATTTGTCTCTTTAAATTAAATAGCTCAAATTTCCATTGTAGCAATGACGGAAAACAGCTGCTCCTAACCAGCTGATTGCTCTATCTCTCCCGTTTACACAACATTTGAACTCTCTCTTTTTCTCTCTCTCTCTCCCCCCCCCCACTTTTCACGACACTCTCTCACTCGTTATTACACTTTGTTTACAATGCACTTGTGTTGGAGCCTATTTTTCCACTTATAACCATACAAATACTTCTCTTTTTAAATTAATAAAAAAATTATTTTTTGTTTGTCTTACAAAAAAATAATAATAATAATAATCATCAAAACACTTATTGTATAATCTACGATCTTATCTGTAACAATTACGATAATTTGACTTTGTTGGATAATCAAACATTATTAAGTATTAGTCACTGAATTTTATTTAAAGGCAATTTACTTTGTGTATTTAAATATCAATGATTAACCATCGTTCTTTCCATTTAAAGAAACAGTTAATAATATGTTACTTAACTTTTCCTTAATAAAATATTTAGGATTGAAAGTAAGCATGAGGTAACAATTTTAGGTGGTCTTAATGAATTTTCCGTAAAATTCTATGGCCCTCGCGGGAGTAAGTATCAAAATAAATTTTAATTTATCAATTAAACAAGTAATTAATTGTATTTATTATTTATTAGCGCCGTATGAAGGAGGAATATGGAAAGTACGAGTACATTTACCTGAACACTATCCATTTAAATCACCATCAATTGGATTTATGAACAAAGTTTACCATCCGAATATTGATGAAGTGTCGGGTACTGTTTGCCTTGATGTAATTAATCAAGCATGGACAGCTCTTTATGGTAAATAATAATAATTGCTTAATTCTTACTAGCAAGCTTGCAGTCACTATGTGACTGCAGTGACTTGGAGGCTATAAATAAATAAAATTTTGCTTTATTAAATAATGACTTGTGTTAAATTGCTCTGTACTTTCTTAATTATTGACATTTTTAAAGATATAAGCTCATCTTGATGTTACACTTATCAAGAGCTTTCATTTGAATGCCCACATGCATTTTTGATATATTTTTCATATTATTTATAAAATCGGATTTTTTACATTATTAAGAAATGACCTTGTATCTTATGAACTATTGACATTTTTAAAGATATACATTAAAAAATGTCAATATCTAAGAAATGGTGTGCCGTTAACTGATCCCAGTAATCTTATACCACGACAACTAATACCTGTAATTTGATCCCAGCGCCAATTGATCCCACCCGTGTTGTGCCTTTTTATCATGGATTTTGTGTGTGTTTATCTAAAAATATTTTAGGGATCAGTTGTCGGTGGGATCAATTGACGCTGGGATCAAATTACAGGTATTAGTTGTCGTGGTATAAGATTACTGGGATCAGTTAACGGCACACCATTTCTTAGATATTGACATTTTTTAATGTATATCTTTAAAAATGTCAATAGTTCATAAGATACAAGGTCATTTCTTAATAATGTAAAAAATCCGATTTTATCATATGACTATCCTGGACACAAAATTTCTCTTATTCTTTTAATAATATAGATTATTAGATTATATAAATTAAAATTTATGATTGTTTTACATTTAAATTTAATATTATAGATCTATCGAACATCTTCGAGTCGTTCCTTCCTCAACTGTTAACATATCCTAATCCAATAGACCCACTTAACGGCGATGCAGCCGCGATGTACCTACACAAGCCCGACGAGTATAAAAAGAAAGTGGCGGATTATGTTAGGAAGTATGCTACAGAAGAAGCATTAAGAGATCAAGAAAATGCTGGTAATGGCAATGGAGTGTCATCTGAAAGCGAATCTTCGATGAGTGATTTTAGTGAAGATGAAGCTCAGGATATGGAGTTGTAACTAGATGCTTTACCACTTGTTAATCTTCCAATTAAGATATCTTAAAAAATAATTCAATTGATTTTTTATTTAGTATAAATTAATAATACTAATAATACAGTACACACAAGTTTCTCGCCCGCGCGCGTGCACACTCTACACTTAACATACACTGTAATATAATTACATGTATGTAAAAGGATAATGAAATCTAAGAACAGTACTATACAGGCTGCGCTCAAGTCTACGATTACAATTCGTGATTTGGTGCTATTATAAATTTGCAATAATAATTATTCTGTTTTTAAATTTTATTACTTTCTTATGTCGATAATTACATTAGCAACGAGCTAACCGAATTAACGCGCTGCGACTAATAGTAAAACATCAATACATTAATAAATCAATTAATATTATTTTTTTTTCTTTTGTCGATAATAAAAAATTATAAATTTTTAATTAGATTATTAGCATTCATGCAAATTAACATTATGATCTTATTAAATCTACTTGTTAAATATATTTAGTTAAATTTTTCATTAAAAATTTCGTTAGTGTGATAAAAAATTGTGTTACTATAAATAGTTCAAATAACGTCTCATTGAAATAAAAAAAAAAATAATAATAAAAAACGAGTAGAGTAAGTGACTCACGCAAATTCACTTGTCGAGATCAAAGTACTAGATTTAATTGCTTAGACAATATTCAAAAATATTAAGCGTTAAAAAATGTTCTAAAGTATATATTTAAACATATATATATTTTTTTTTAAATAAAAAAATCTAACAAAATTTACACAGTATATTAATGACGATTGATACAACAAAACAATTGCGCCATAAAAATTCCCATTATGAGAGATTGAAAAAAAGAAAAAAAAAGAAACAATTTAATGAATAATATCTATTACTTTTCGTTTAATGAGATAAAACAATATCTTTTTATAGATTATTATATACAATATTTTCAGATTATAATTTTTAAAAATTAATAATAATAATAATAATAATAATAATAATGATAAATAATCGTGTTCGCATAAAGATAAAAACTATAAAATAATAATACGTCGCACCCCAACGTTAAAGTTATCGATATACTTTTATTAATTATTTTTTATTCGTTTAAAAGTCAAGCATCACTTATTGTACAACCAGCCAGCCGAATTATTTTTTTTCTTTCACGGTCAAATAAAAAAAGTAATCACGGTACAAGTGTAATAGTTTGAGATTAAAATTATCGAGTCAATAAGCGAAGATTAATATCTATATAACAATATATAAATATATATCTTAATTAAGCTCTTAGGATATGCAAATTGGTTTGATAATTGGTGGAAGTTAATAAGAAAAAAAGTAAATTAATAAAATAACAAATAAATAAATATATATATATATCCTCTGATATGGATAACTTGCAAGTGTTCTTGTGTCACTAGACCTCACGAATTTTAACATTAACATTAACATTAATAAATTATAGGCAATACTTATATATTATTAAAATATAAATTTATTATTTAAACTATTGTTATATTAGTAATTTTTATATGATTGTAAACCAGTACTCTTATATTTATTTAATCATTTTCAAAATTCAATACCGACATAAAAGTACTTTATTTTGAAAGATACAAATGCAAATTTTTTTTTTATAAATGTTATATTATTGTAATTTGAATTTTTATAGTTTAAATTTTTTTGCAGTTAATTTAATGTCTTGAAATATCATTGGGTCGTAAAATGAAAAATTAATATTTAAAACATATATTATAAATAGAAACGTGTTTCACTCCAATTTATACTATGCGCGAAATCATTAAAATATTTTGCTAAGGTACTTGACGTCATAAATTACGTATTTTTATTCCACTAATTTTTTTTTGACGGCATACATTTCCCCGCTTATAAATACTTAATTTTATTTTTATGTTTTTCCTAATTTGTATGGATAAAAAAAAATTATTATTTACTCATTTAAAATTAAACGAGTAATTGTAAAATAAAATTAAAATTTCGATTTATAATTAAGATAAATTGGAACTATTAAAAAAAATTGAATTTTTTGGTACAATAAAATAACAATAATAAATTGAAAAATATTCTTCATTATTTTATTTCTTCCTAATTAAATTGTTATGTTTTCTTCATAATTTATTATCACTGAAGTTAGGTAACAGCTGTCAATTTATTGAATTCTTGTAACAAATAAATCATAATAATAAAAATATTTTTTGACAGTCATCAGAAATTTTTTTTAGAACTTTATAATAAAAAAAATTTTTAATTGAAATTTATTTGTTATAAAAATTAAAAAAATTGACAGCTGTCGGCTAACTTCAGTATCATTAAAATTCAAAAAAAATTTATGAAAATAAAGTTAGCCGACATCTAAAAATTCTTAGAATTTTTTTTGTTAAAGAATTATTACAAAAAAATGAAAAAAAAATTTTTTTCATTCGTTAAAAATTATAAGTATAATTTCTTAAAAATATTTTTTAGTTATAATTTAATAAATTAAGCAAAATCAAGAAATCAAAAATGTCGGCTAACTTTATTATTATAAAAAATTTTCAATCTCTGTCAACTTCAGAGTTAAACAAAAAAAAAAAAACAATTATAAGTCTAAAATCTACTGTACCGATTAATTCTAAAGGAAGAAAACGTTTGTGGTTTGTGGTAAAAAAATAGAATAAAGCCGAGGGCGCCACCCATTAATTAGAACATTTTAGACTGTCGCATCTTACTTGTCAATTATTATTATTTTCGAGCACTCAGTCAGTATCCAGTGGACACTGTAACGGGCAACTGTAAGCCACTGGTAAGTCAGCAGTGCAAATTCATATACTACTAATGTGATGTGATGATATACATATATGTTAATAAAATTTACCGTATTGTTATATATACATCTATACATACATTTGCATCTTTCCACGTCAAGGACTACATCTTTATTCTTACATTATATTATTGTTATTACATCTCACATTTTTTTATCATATTCATGTTACATCAAAACATAATAACATTATCAGTTTACACTTTATCTAATAAATTATAAATAAATTTAAATTAAACTCAAATTTTATTACCAAGTGTCTCTTATTTACATACTGCTGTCTAGTTAATACACATTTTAATACCATGACAATAATCTCTTATCTCTAAATAAGGTTATTAATTGTTATCACCAATTTCGTGAGTGAAAAAACACAAATCTATCGACATTTATTCCCTCTAATATATACAATCATTATTTAGTCATTTATTTTTCTACTTGACCTCGCAAACTGATATTTATTATTATTTTACAATTACGGGCATGCGAGGATTTTAAAAAAAAATTTTTCAAGATACTATTGGATGCTCAAGTTTAAGAAAAGTAAGTTTTTATTTTTTAACAAGTTTAATTTTATTTAATTTTTTAATTTTTTATTTTTATCTAGCACCGGATAGATGAGGGCTCCACAATTGCATTTCAATTAAACTTTTAATTTACAATAAATAAATAAATAAATTCAATTGATCAAAATGGGTGAGATACTTGGATCAGCGAGTTTTTTACATCTCGGAGATATTGTCAGCTTGTACGCCGAAGGAACAGTATCAGGATTTTTATCAACTCTAGGGTAAGTTTTTTTTTTTATTTATAAAAAATGAAAATTAATTTAGCAGATATTTAATAAATTTTAAAAGTCTTTAAAACAAATAAATCATGGCAAAAAAAATTATAAATGCAACTTTTTAAAAATAATTTTTCAAAAAAAATTTGTACATTAAATAAAACTAAAAAATTATCGACTGCTAACTTTAATGGCATTTATAAAAATTATTGGAGTAAAATATTAATAAAAATTAAATTTATTAAATAAAAAAAATAAAGTATCTGAATATTTAAGTATAAATAAAATGAATAATAATTATAAAATGTGTATGGAGCACATATGAATAGAAAATCAATGAATATCTCAGGGTATACTTAAGTTATATTTATTTTTATACTACATGGTTTATGTGATAAAAATTAAATAGCTCATAGGGCACATACGAATCGGTGCATATTGGGTTAATCAAGTGAAACGACGCACGTACGTCCGTACAGAGTATACAACTCAAGCACAAGCACAAGCACAAGCACATAGATGATGCTAATATAATAACAACAAGAGAGCGAGTCAAACGATTGGAAAAAAGGATAAATGATATTCACCGAGAGATCTTTTTATAGAATATATATTCATCGTGGTTTTATTTGGTTTTCAAAATAAATAGAAATATATCCATAACACTATATTTATGATATTTATTATTACGGTAATATTATTTTAGTCAGACTAAATTCATTTTTTATTTTCATTCACAGATTAGTTGATGATAGATGCGTCGTTTGTCCTGAAGCCGGGGACTTGGTTAATCCGCCCAAGAAGTTTAGAGGTAATTAGAAACACAATAAAATTCTAATTATAACTTTTTACGTAATAATTTATTAATAAAATTTTTTTAAAATATTTTTAATTAGACTGCCTGTTCAAAATATGTCCTATGAATCGATATTCCGCTCAAAAGCAGTTCTGGAAAGCGGCGAAGCAGAGTGGAAGTTCAACAACGGATGCCGTTTTATTAAAGAGACTTCATCATGCCGCGGAAATCGAAAAAAAACAAAATGATACTGAAAATAAAAAATTATTGGGCTCCGTTGTGTCTTACGGCAACGTTGTCCAGGTCAGTAGTACAAATTTATATTTATTCTCTTATATTTAATTTAATTTACGGATAATAATCGGATAAATATTATTTATTACAGCTACTTCACCTTAAATCCAATAAATACCTGACGGTAAATAAACGACTCCCAGCACTTTTGGAGAAAAATGCGATGCGTGTTTACCTGGACGCTAATGGCAATGAAGGCTCCTGGTTTTACATAATGCCCTTCTACAAATTAAGGAGCGACGGTGATAGCGTCGTTGTAGGTGATAAAGTTATAATGGAGCCTGTTAATTCTGGCAGACAGGGTCTTCATGTTGCCGCAAACTACGAGCTTAGCGATAATCCAGGCTGTAAGGAAGTTAATGTTGTTAATGCCTCTACTTCCTGGAAAGTAACGTTGTTTATGGAGCACAAAGAAAACCAGGAAGAGATACTCAAAGGTGGAGACGTTGTTAGGCTCTTTCATGCCGAGCAGGAGAAATTTTTGACTATGGATGAGTATAAAAAAAAACATCATGTCTTTTTGAGAACTACTGGAAGAACAAGCGCTACTGCGGCGACCAGTAGTAAGGCGTTGTGGGAAGTAGAGGTGATATTTTTTTTTTTTTAAATATTTTTATAATAAAATTATTATTTTTTTTTGAATAATTATTTTATTTTAATAATTATATTTTGGTATTTTATCTCAGGTTGTTCAACATGATCCCTGTAGAGGTGGAGCAGGTCATTGGAATTCTTTGTTTCGATTTAAACATCTTGCTACCGGTCAATATTTAGCCGCGGAAATAGATATTGATGAGCCATTAGACACATCTAAATTAAAACGTGGTAAATTTATACTCTAGAGAATTAAAAAATGTAAAAATGAAATAAAATTAAAATAAAATTGTTTGTAACTTCAGATTTATCTGGAGCAGCGTACCGACTGGTGTCTGTACCCCACAGCAATGAAATCAGTTCACTATTTGAGCTGGACCCTACAACACTAACTAGAGCCGACAGTTTGGTACCTCAATCGTCATTTGTAAGACTACATCATATATGCACAAACACTTGGGTACATTCAACGAGTGTACCTATTGACAAAGACGATGAAAAGCCAGTCATGTCAAAGGTATGATCAAGAAAACTCCCTATAAAGAATATTAAAATATTGATTTGTGTATAAAAAAAATTTCAGGTAGGATGCGCTATAAATAAAGAGGACAAAGAAGCTTTTGCTTTGAGATCTGTTTCTCCAGTAGAAGTTCGTGACCTTGATTTTGCGAACGACGCTTGCAAAGTGCTTGCATCAATTAGCGGTAAATTGGAGCAAGGGACGATATCCCATAATGAAAGGAGAGCTGTTACAAGTTTGCTCCAAGATATTGTTTACTTTATTGCTGGGTTGGAGAATGAACAAAACAAGTCGGAAGCGCTTGATTTGATAGTTACAAATGCTGTGAGAGACAGACAAAAATTATTGAGAGAGCAGTATATACTTGGGCAGTTGTTTAAGATACTTCAAGCACCGTTTTTGGAATCTAATGAGGGCGAGGGACCTTTTTTGAGGATAGAAGAATTAAATGATCCTCGACACGCACCTTACAAATATATATTCCGGTTATGTTACCGGATATTAAGATTATCGCAGCAAGATTATCGGAAGAATCAGGAGTACATTGCCAAGTTTTTTGCGTTTATGCAAAAACAAATCGGTTATGATATTTTAGCAGAGGATACAATTACTGCATTGTTACATAATAATCGTAAATTGTTGGAAAAACATATTACAGCAGCTGAGATAGAGACGTTCGTTGGACTAGTTAGAAAAAATATGAAAAATTGGGAATCTAGATTCTTAGATTACTTATCAGATTTATGTATATCTAACAAAAAAGCCATTGCGGTAACACAGGAATTAATTTGTAAGAGTGTTCTTAGTGATAAAAATAAGGATATTTTAATAGATACTAAAATGATTAAAACTCAACTGGAGGTCGAGGAGAATATTAATGAAGAGCATGAACATGAACACGAACACCACGACGATACTAGCGAAATAACTCAGATAACGATATTAGAAGAGTTTGAAATCGTTCTTACTTGGAATAATGGAAAACGTTCAATGTCACTTAGCGAACTGTCAAGGGGCGCTAAAATAGGAAACCACGAGCATATTGCTATATTGGATTACTATAGACATCAATTAAATTTATTCAGTAATATGTGTCTTAATCGACAGTACTTGGCTTTGAATAATTTGTCCCCGCATTTAGATATTGATTTAATTTTAAAGTGCATGGAGGATGAAACGGTACCTTATGAGCTACGTGCTTCCTTTTGCCGCCTCATGTTACATTTGCACGTCGATCGAGACCCTCAAGAACCTGTAACGCCTGTTAAATACGCTCGTCTGTGGTCAGAAATTTCATCAAAAATTAGTATCAACGATTATGACACTAATAAAATGCCAGATGAAAATAAAGAAGCCGTCAGAGCTCGGTTTAGCTCGACAATACTGTTTGTCGAAGATTATTTATGTAATGTCGTGTCGAATGTCTGGTCATTTGCAGATCATGAACAAAATAAACTCACATTTGAAGTAAGGATTATTTGGTTTACATTTTGATTATTTATTTTTTGCTGGGTAAATATGCATTATTTTATTTATTTATTCAGGTTGTTAAATTGGCAAGGGATCTCATTTATTTTGGATTCTATAGCTTTAGCGATTTACTGAGATTAACTAAAACGCTACTCAATATACTCGACTGTGTGTCTGATAAGGATTTCATTGATGGGAAAATATCGTCAACCAGTGAAAGTGATAGTAAGTTGATAAAATTTTTTTTTTTTCCGCATTTTTATTTAATTTTTAAATTATTAAAAATCACGTATTGAAAATTTGTTTAGCCGAATCGTTGGATTCTAAAAATGAAGGTAATTTAAAAGAAAAAAAAATAGTGTTGAAAAAAAAAAATAATTGGACTGTTTTTTATAATTGGATGTATTGTTATTCCGCGCAATCGTCAAAATTAAACTCACAAAATTTTTGATAGTTTGTAAAAAATTCACCAAAAAAAATTTCGACGATTCTGTGGAATTTAATACACTCTTTAATTTGCGGTTAAGAGTATAATTATTTTTTTACTAGCTGAAGGTGGTGTATTGAAATGTATAGGAGACATGGGAGCAGTAATGACAAGTCTAGCTCTTGGACCCGCAGGTCAAACGATGTCCGGAAGTTCTTCGCCTCGATCGAGCCCAGCGGCTAAAAAAGAATATCCGCTTGTGATGGATACAAAGCTAAAAATAATTGAAATCTTGCAGTTTATTCTTGACGTTCGGCTTGATTATAGAATATCCTGTCTGCTGAGTATCTTCAAAAAGGAATTTGATGAGAACGAAAGAATGTCAGGCGACGGGAGTCTTGAGCAGAAAGGAATAGACTTAGAAGCTATTGGTACTCAAGCGGAAGGAATATTTGGTAGTAGGTGAGTGAGATATTGTCGTAGTTCAGCGGAGCAGAATCGAGTAATTAATTTAATTGAATTTGGGTTATTGCAGTGACGAATGCTTAGCATTAGATCTCGATGGACAAGGCGGTCGTACATTCCTGAGAGTTTTGCTGCATTTAGCAATGCATGATTACCCTCCGTTAGTATCTGGCTCTCTCCATTTATTATTCCGACATTTCAGTCAAAGACAAGAAGTCCTTCAAGCGTTTAAGCAGGTTTGTTTCCACAAAAATTATAATTATAATGGATCTTTTTAATTTTTTATCCACTACAGGTTCAATTGCTAGTTTCGGACAGTGATGTGGAGTCTTATAAGCAAATTAAAGCCGATTTAGATGTTCTACGTCAGTCAGTGGAAAAATCAGAGCTGTGGGTTTATAAATCAAAGTCAGTTGAAGAGCATGGAGGTAAAAAGAAGAAGAGCAATAAAGAAGACGAGGATGAGGGTGCGACTCCCCGTAAAATGCCTCCGAAGTTGGCTCAGATAGATAAGCGAGGGTCTGCTATTGATTTGGACGTCGGACCGCCTCTTCATGCGGACCAAGCTGAAGAATACAGAAAAATTCAACAAATATTAATAAGAATGAATAAATTATGCATTCAAACCCTACCTGGTGGCATTGTCAAGCCGCGCAAACATGAGCAAAGGCTCTTACGTAACGTCGGTGTCCACACAATTGTTTTAGACCTCCTTCAAGTTCCATTTGACTGCAAAGAAGATACTCGGATGAATGAATTAATGCGACTTGCTCATGAATTTCTTCAAAATTTCTGCCTCGGTAATCAACAGAACCAAGTTCTTCTTCACAAACATCTCGATTTATTTTTGAACCCCGGCATACGGGAAGCTCAAACAGTCTGCAGTATTTTTCAAGACAATTCAACGCTCTGCAATGAAGTCAGTCCAAAAGTGATTCAACATTTCGTTCACTGCATTGAAACTCACGGTAGACATGTTCAATATTTGAAGTTTCTTCAAACTATTGTCAAAGCGGAAAATCAATTTATCCGAAAGTGTCAGGAGATGGTGATGCAAGAGCTGGTTCAAGCTGGAGAAGATGTACTTGTATTTTACAACGACCGCGCGTCATTTAATTATTTTATTGAAATGATGAAGTCGGAAAGATACCGCATGGATGAAAGCAGTCCACTCAAATATCACGTCGAGCTTGTCAAGCTATTAGCTTGCTGTACAATGGGGAAAAATGTCAACACGGAAATAAAATGCCACAGCCTTCTGCCGCTCGATGACATTGTCGCGATGGTGTCTCATCCCGACTGTCTTCCCGAAGTATGTTTTTTTTATGATTTTTTGATATTTTTTGATATTTAATTAAAAAATTCTTTTGACAGGTCAAAGAAGCTTATATCAATTTTCTAAATCACTGTTATATTGACACTGAGGTTGAGATGAAAGAAATTTACACATCAAATCACATGTGGTCACTTTTTGAGCGGTCCTTTACCGTCGACATGGCAATAATCGGGACCGCGACGCACGACAGGAATCACGCTGACACTGCGCTGGAAAATTACGTTCTCAATTGTCTGATGAACATCATCACTACCTTCTTCAGCAGCCCGTTTTCAGATCAAAGTACTACCGTCCAGGTATATTATTCAGTTATTTAAATACAATAATTAAAACACATAACACCTTCGCAATGTCGAAATTTAATCCGTCAATGTTTTGTAAATAAACCGTGAATTATTATAAATAATAATATGTAAATATTAAGTAAATAATTAAATGCTGTACACTATTCGCTTTGCATGCCAGATTATTGATGTTGTTACTTTTTAACTGTTCAGACACGAGAATTAATTATAGTTGGAAATTGATGTTGCAGAAGAGCAAGGTTTTAAAAAATAACGTGATTTTAAAAATCAAACATGTAAATATTTTGATGTTAATTTAAATTTAAGTTTCAGAATTAATTTATTAAAAAAATATGCTTTTACATTTAACGGTCCGGCGATAAAAAATATTGATGTGAGCTTGATAATAGCAGCGGTTGCAGCATGATTTGTGTTTTTTGGCATGCACCGATTGGGTTCTATAAATATTATTTTATTCAACAACACTGACTCACTGGGTTTGATTGATTTTACGGGGTCTGTATGGTGTTGGGGTTTTGATTTACTAATAGAAACATCTGCACGAGGCGAGGCTATTTTGGAATCTCAAGGAGTGTGACCATAATAACGACACCTTTATTAATCAAATGGACTCTGTAAGTAATAAAGAGTCCAATTTTTGTTTATATTTAATCACTTTTCTGCTAACAGCATGTCGCTAATATAGTACTTGTATATAACTCCAATTATATTATTAAGAGAATAAGGAAAATTTTGTTTCCAGGATAGTTATATGTCTAGCTACATAATTAAGAAATTACCTTGTATCATGAGAATTATTGACATTTTTAAAGAAATAAGCTCACCCTGATGTTTACACTCATCGAGACCTTTCATTAGAGTACCCACATCAATTTTTCATATATTTATATTTTATATATATATATATATATGTATATATGAAAAATATATCAAAAAAGCATGTGGGTACTCAAATGAAAGTTCTTGACGAGTGTAACATCAGGGTGAGCTTTTATCTTTAAAAACGTCAATATTTAAGAAAGTACAGTACAATTTAACAAAATTCATTATATAATAAAGAAAAATTATTTTTTAATAAAATATTTTCATGGATAAATTTTAAAATTGAAGCCTGCAGGAAAATTCGATTTATCATTCCAAAGATAATATTATAAATAATTTGTTTGAATATTTGTGTAGAATTTTTATCCATACCGTGAATGATAAAAATTTTTTTTTAATAACAGACCAGACAGCCAATATTTGTGCAATTATTGCACGCAGCATTTAAAGTATCACAATGCGCGTGGTTGAATGCCGGCCAGCGATTCAATGTCGAAAATTGTATCAGAACTCTATCTGAAGTTGGTAATTATTTTTTATTAATTACTTCATTCGTAGCTTAGTTATTTAAAAACCCAGAGTACTAGAATTTAAAATATTAATGTTGGAAAATTATTCGAATAAAACCACGCAATCCAATCCCCAAGGAATTTATTTTAACATCTTTTAATTTATATACTTGTGTAAATAATGACGTGTTTTTTAACAAAACTTGATAGAAAAACAAACCGTATTTCTTTTGCCGAACTGATAAAAAAAAAAAAACTTAACAGAGTTTTTGCTAAAATAACATCATCAACTTTAATTTATTTTAATTGTAATTAAATCATTTTTTTTTTAACACTCAAAAATTACAATATTTATAGAGCAATTAAACGGGAGTTATTAAAATCCGATAATATAATAATTAATAACAATATTAAATATGTAAATTCGAAAGCCATTGGTTGAAAGTTGAAAGCTTAATTTGAGTGTTAGCCATTGAATCGCTTCCCTCATTGACGTCAATCACTCAAAACAATTAAAATGGGAAGGACGAATAAAATAATAAAAAAATCAATAGCTGTTCGCGTTTGCCCGATTGCTCTTAAATATAATTTAATAAAACAAGTTTTTAGATTCATTCAATGTCAGATTCTGAAGAATTGCCTCTACTCTGTTTAAGAATTCCTCTTTGATTCCACCTGTTGCGCATGACGAATATTATTATCATTGTTATTAATGATGTCTTTAATTTTTAATTAGAATCGCTGGCTGTTTAAACTTAAATGAAATATTAAATCAACTTGGAGATTTTGTGGGAGTAAATGAATGGATTTATTTGAATTTTCAGAGTGTCCGTCATCTGAGGACGGAATGGAACGATTTGCATGTCCGACTCCCGACAGAATGGGCAGGTATCGGTGCATCGACGATCACGTCCTGTGTGACGGATTTATCGATTGTCCTACTGGAGAAGACGAGGACCGACAAGCATGCATGTTCTACAAAACTGTAAGTACTACATGCATACAATATCAGTTTAGATATTTTAATATTACAAATACTAGTCACTATGTGACCGTCAAGACTTGTGAACTATAAATAAACAAAATTTTGCTTTATTAAATAATGGCTATTGTTAAATTTCACTGTACTTTTTTAAATATTGACATTTTAAAAGATATAAGCTCATCCTGATGTTACAGTCATCAAGAGCTTTCATTTGAGTACCCGCACATGCATTTTTGATATATTTTTCATATATACATATATATAACATATATTTTAGAAATATAAGCTTATCTCGATGTTATACTCACCAAGAGCTTTCATTTGAGTACCCACATGCATTTTTAATATTTTTTTCATATATACATATATATAATATACATAAGTATATGAAAATATATGAAAAATTGATGTGGGTACTCAAATGAAAGGTCTCGATGAGTGTAACATCCAGATGAGCTTATATCTTTAAAAATGTCAATAGTTCTCAAGATACAAGGTCGTTCCTTGATTATGTTAAATTGCACTGTACTTTTTTAACGATTGACATTTTTAAAGATATAAGCTCATCCCGATGTTACACTTATCAAGAGCTTTCATTTGAGTACCCACATACATTTTTGATATATTTTTCATATATACATATATATATATATATAAATAAATATATAAAATATATGAAAAATTGATGTGGGTACTCAAATGAAAGGTCTTGATTATAGTGTAACATCAGAATGAGCTTATATCTTTAAAAATGTCAATAGTTCACGAGATACAAGGTCATTTCTTAATTATATATAGTAAAAAAAAAATAAATTTGAATTCAGAGAAAAATTCTTAAATCTTCAAAATTAAATACTTAATTGAAATATTTTTTTTCTGTGTAGATTAATTCTTCATTTTCTCACCTGCTATTCATAAAATATATAATATACCAATTAATTATTCAGATAGTAAAAAATCAATTTTTTCCTTCTTTTTTTCATAATTCATAAAAGTTTAAACTTTATACAATTATTTAAATTTTTATTTTTATCTATAAAAAATTGCATTTGTTAAGAATCTGATATATCTGTACATATATAGATATAAAGTATTGAGTGTATATAAAGTAAGTTTTTTCTTGAGTCACGCAAATGTATTAATACATTTTTCTATTTTTATTTTACAGACAAAGGCACATTTGGACGTACTGGCAGAGGCTTTACTGCGATGGGTCAGAGGCCGCTAAGGAAATCTTTGTTACTTTCTTCCTTATCTTATTCTACATTTATTATTCATGCTCGACTCATTAATCATCGAAGAACAAACCTACAAAATAAAAAAGAAAATCAACAAAAAAAGAGAAAAAAAAAAACAATGAAAAAAATAAAAAAAAGAAGAACACAAGAGGAATTAAATTCAACTTATCAATAAATGTTGCAAGTGACGTCCATCTATGATCGGTAATATTTCTTCTTCTACTTCTTCTACTGCTTCTTCTTCTCTACTCTGTTCAATACTTTGACAGATCTGTTAGCGGCTCTTGCAAAAGATTCATTTATTTTTAATTTCCGTCACTCAGCAGACTTTTTTTGTGAAACAGGCTGAATATACTAAACATTATTTATAATTACTATTATTATTATTATTATTATTATTATTATTATTATTATTAGTAATTAATATAAATATAAACGTTTGCAAATATTCGGCCATGCTTTGTTTAAAATTTAATTAAATTCAGTAATTAATTCTACAGATTTAAAAACTAAGCACGGCCGAAAGTGACTTTCTCTAAAGTAAACTACTCATTGAGTTAATTAAACGTGGGTTAGTCAAAAGACTGTCCATCCATCTATTTGTACAGCCTCTGGTGTAACGGGTGATTTAATTGAGCAAACTGTTGACTTGATCTCAAAATTTAGACAGTAAACTCATTAACAAAAGTTATTATAAACTTTAATTAGCGACAGATGACAAGTTTGACAGATTAATCACAAAAAGTACATTGTGAAAACTTGTTTGTCGTTAGCGAAATAACTAATCAAGTATTTTATTATAATTTCTTCTTTAATTTTTTTTAATAATTGCCAAATGTAAATATTCATTTATTTTATAATATGTCAAATGATAAAATATGTTTTTACATGATATAAAAACTGTTGTTTATTATTTAAAACGCTTAATTAATTAAGGAAGTCTTTTTGCTCTAATTAAATTAAATTTAATGAAAATAATAATTTTAAAAAAATATTTTACAAAATTTTAATTATTTAAATAAAATAAAAAAAATTAATTATTTCTACAAAAATAAACTATCAAATAAATTGAATTATAATCCTAAATTGGCAGGGAAAAGACCTCCTTAATTGGACTTTGATATTACGCAAGGCATAATCCAACCTCTTGAGTATTGAAAGCATGCATGCATGACTGTAATTACGCTTAAATTTCACTAAAGGTAGTAATAACGTCATCTATTTTTGGTTCTCGCCCATTGATTGTTAGAAACAAAAAAACAATATTATTATTATTATTATTATTATTATTATTATTAAAACTGTTATTGTTATAAATTGGACAAAATATCTGTATAGTGTATTACGAGGCCATCGCGTCGGACAGATAACTTGATAAATAAATCACCGAATACTAAAGTATTAACAAGATTTGCAAAGCTCTAATGACGTACTTGCGGGGGATTATATAACTAAAAAAATTAAAGAAGACTATTATAAATTCCCAGGAGAGAGCTAAAGAATTTCAAATGTATTTTTTAAACTAACTTTGGTTAAAGTCGATGCGATTGACTCGTTAGATTTGGCACTCGGGTAAATTTCAGCCGATTGGTTGAAACGGGCTGAATATTATTGGCAACTCACCAAAAACCTTACCCGTCCATAATATCACCGAGAACGGGAATAGGGGGTAACGGGGGCAACGAGGAACCATAAATTTCATTCTCCTCTGTTATGTAACTGCATCCTCCCAGGCAGAGCCAACGACCGAGACTCTACTTTCGATCGTACCCTTTTTCATTCAATTTATCTGTATCATTTTATTTTTATCTATCATCTTCTCTAAATTTTTTTATTTCTTCTCTACCGCTTGGTAATTCAGCACGACAATCTTCTGAAACCAAAATTTAATCCTTTTTCAAAATAATATTAATATAAATAATAATAATAATAATAATAATAATAGTAGTAGTAATAATAATAATAATAATAATAATAATAATAATAATAATAATAATAATAATAATCTCAAAATTGACAATCTCTATTTGAACTGGAGCTGAAAGCTTTACAAGCACACAGTCATCAATTTTTATTCCTCCATCAACAAAATATATACGTTCGATTAAATGAAATGTTTCTTCGACTTACCTAAATGCATTTCGGTATTTTGGTTGCCAAAAACTCCGGGTCATTGAACTCCAAAACGATCAATGATTCGAATAAACGTGTAACAGCGATTTACGTACACACAAAAAAAAACCTTTTTTTTTTTTTTTTTTTTTAATTTTTCTTCCGCAATTCACTATCTATTCTCTATCGTGCAATAAACGTTTAATTAAATCGATTTATGCCGTACATAGACCCGGTATTAAAACCCTTATTTTCCACGAGACAATTATTTAAATAGCCTCTAGAATCTTTTCTTAATAAAACCAAAATTGTCTGGACGATTATAACAAAAGCTGTCTTTTGCATTAAATTTATCCCTACATACATAATAAAATATTTATTGTAATCATAAAGATCCATTAAGTGACAACAAATATATTTTTCGACAAGTTAAAACCAACCAAATTTAGATCATATAATAGAGATGATAAATAATTCCGATCGGGTAAATATCCTGAAGTTGTGTAGACGGATAGAATTAATTATTTAAGTTGCGTGTTTGATGGTTGGTGAGTCCGAGGAACGTCGCGGCCAGACTTTGGTTATACAGCAAATATATATATATATATATATATATAAGTATATACACATTTATCTATACATGGGCATAAGCGGATCTAGTAATGACATTTAGAAATAATAGTAATGAAAAAAGGTTGATAAAAAAAGAAATTGTAAATCAATGAAAACTATAGCTTCTTACAATCGGGTCAGCGACCGTTCTTTTGTTTACTTTTCTTAAAACTTTTTTACATTTTTTGTTTCCTTTTCATCAGTTTGTTTCATTGTGATATTTTATTATAAACAAAACGAACAAACTTTTCCGAGTTTATTAAATCTTAACGCTTAAAGTACACTAGTCAACTACATATTTTATATCGAAAGCCATAGATATGTACTTATTCTGATAAGTATATGTATTTACACGTAATGGCAACTGAAAAATATATAGATGCATACTTAAAAAAAAAATAAAATTTTTTACATGGCCTACTATTCTATATTCGATTGGTTCGTCGCAAGTTATTACGTCAATTCATGTTAAAGGTCACTTTCAATGTACGTATAGCTTCAGTTACGATCAATTAAAGAAGGCCGAAGCTAATTTTGTCCATAATTGCAATCGTTTTGATCTGCATTGGATTACATTTATAGAAACAATCGATATATTTATGTATATATCTGTGTACATTGTATTCTAAATAGAATGATGATTTATCGAGGAAGCCCGAGTCATTTATACAGATTTTTCCATTCTTCCGTTGTGATGAAAAATAAAATAAAGAAAGAAGAAAAACAGAGAGAGGGAGGAAAAGCTTGTGCAAAACTCTTGTGTGAAATCAATAGAGTCAGCTCTTGGCAAATTGCATCAAGTTTCTCATGTAATACGACACCTAAATTTATTTATTTATTTTATTTTATTTTATTTATTGAATTTTTTAAGAAATAAATTCACTCGCTTATAATTAATTGCTTTTTTAATTAATCCCGGCAATAATGGAAAAGTTTTGGTTCCAAGTTTTAAAGTTTCCCTCGCGATAAATTCAGTGATAACTCTGTAATTGTTTTATCTCTGATACTGATAATTTACGGGTATGTTTTCCAATTTATCTGATAACACTTTTTTTAATTGATAGAATTGACAAAAACAGTCGTAATTTTTTTTTTTTAAATAATTGTAATTATAATCCTCTGTGTTGTAGTTGTCAAAAATATATAAAATTTAATCAAGTGTGTAATTTATAATCGTATTTGTATAATGTGAATTTTGAAGTATATAATTTTGAATTTGGATGTTGAATTAAATATAATATTTAATAATAATTAATTAATTAAATTTAATGTGGAAAAACAGTTTTGGAATTCTGGAGGCTGGATCGCAAGATTCTTTTTAAATATTAATAATTATTATTGGAAAATATTAAACCGCGGGTACTCGGGTAATAAACAAGATTATTGATAAAAAATTCTTGGTTATTTTGAGCCACTCGAGTAAACGTCGGGCCAAATTATCTTGCGATCCAATGAACCCTTTACTGTTAAAATATATATATATATTGTAATAAATGTTTCGAGTATTATTAGACTTATATATCCTGTAAGTGTAAAATTATTAGTTGGGGGTTATTTAAATTAGTTTGCTTAAAAAGTCCCGATTTAAATTTTATAGTGAAGAAAAAAAATTACGACTGTTATTATTATTATCATCGACAATTTAAAGTTTTAATTGATAAAATCCTGTCGGAAAAATTCACACGAGCTTTGAACAAGCGTCAATCAAAAAATAATGGCTTCCTCAATACAAGTTTGTGAAAAATGAACAAAATTAATTTCGGATTGATTGACAGATATAAATTGAAAGATTTAAAGCGTGAATTAATAAAATATTTATTCATTGAAAAAATGATAAATTGAAATAAAAATTTAAATTTATTTTTAAAAAATGTTATTACTAGAAAATGCTTATATATGGCCGTATAATATTATTTGAGCACTGATCAAAAAATAATAAATCAAATCTCAACATTATTCAGATTAAGATGTTGTAAGATAAAAATTTAACTAATTAATTTATGGTAATTTTGCTTATCTAAATGTGTGTCATAGGTTCCGATTTTAATTAAGTTATTTAATTAAACGTTAAAATAAATCGATAAATGATAAAATTACAAATTTAGCTATTGAATAATAATTTATTACTGAATTGCAATTTAAATTTACGAGTAGGCGGAAAAAGAAGAGGATTTAACTCAATGCTCTTTAAATTAACGATCTCGATTGTTATTCTGTACCACAGATTCCAGTGAAATATATTTAAAAAATATAATAATCGAGTCGA